CTAAATGTTAGTGATGCTGATGTGTCGCCATGTTGGGAACTTGCTGTATTAGCAAAGTCTGTGTTTGGTGTCTACCAACGGATAAATGGACACTTAAAATTTTGGGCTACGCGTTGACAACTGAAGCCTAATAAGCAGAAAGTTCTGAGGGAAACACCAGTGAGCCCAAGTCCCATGTTCAGGACTTTTAAATTTATTTACTATTTTTCACTTGGTTTAATTTGCCCTTTTGTAACAAATCAGAAATGTAAACATAAAAAAAAGAAAGTCCTGAGCCTCCCCTGGTGGCGCAGCGGTTGAACGCTGGGCTGCGAAGGTGCCCGCAGCCTCTGCAGTGTCGGTTTGATCCCGGCGGTTCGGTCCCGGGCGCCGGGGAAGGGGCCCACATGGCGCGCAGACCTCTCCTGCCGCCCGCTGCTCCCCTCAGCAGTGTATTGTCGGTCTGCCTGTTCTGTTCCCTGCTCTGGCTCTGGTGAATCCTCTCACCCTCCTGCGCTTCTGACTGTACCCAGTGCTTGTATAAATAAATAAACCTTAAAAAAAAAAAAAAAAGAAAGAAAGAAAGCCCTATTTCCTCCACCCCCACGCTTCCCTAGGGCTAACCATTTGTAAACGCTTTTGCAGCTACCCTTCTGCCCACCTGTGCCTGTGCAGGTACCTCTCTTCACTGACCTCCTTTGCAAAGCAGCAGAGGCAGCGCTCCTCCTAAGGCTGCCCTCCTGTAACTGAGTAGGTCTCAACTTTAGCAAACCTGTCCTGTTCAGGGACAGCTCTTTCTGGCCATTTGGGTCCATGCAAATGTTCTTTACTCTTCTCTCTCTTTTTATAACGAATGTGCCCTATTGGATATTACAATCAACCACTGTTATAGTTCCTACTATGTGAACTTTCCTGACTGCTTTACAACTCTATAAGGTTATATTGTTATTATACACATTTTTGTTACAGACAGGAAAGTGATTGTTACATGGCAGAAGGGAGACTTAGACAACAGATTCTTGTTAGCCCCCGTGTCTAATTAAGTTTCCCTTCTGCCAATGCAACAGGGTGGTCCCTAGGAAAGGGGGAGGTTCCCTGCCCCACCCAAGGGAGGGTGGAGCTGAGCAGCAAGAGGAGAAGCAGAAGAAGAGACTGAGGAAGGAAGGAAGCAGGATGGAGCCAGGAGACCTGGAGGAGGCGCGTGGAGCCTAGAGACACGTAAAGAAACTGCGCTTGTCTTTTGGTTGTGGACTGGGTGACACAGATGTGGGTGAGAGACCCGTGGGGAGGTGACAATGGCAGCTTTTATCTGGATGTTGATTTTGGTCTTTTCCTTCCGGGCTTGTCCGGTTGTTTGTGACCCTTTTCTGTGGGTCCCCACTGGAAGATGTTTTAGACTTGTGGCAGGCTTTGGGGCCTTGCTCTGGGCCGACCCCATATGGATGGAGTTTTACCCACGAGGGGATGGGTAACTTTGGGTGCTTCATTTAGAAACTAGACTCTTTGCCTTACCTGTATTGTTTCCTAGTTTTTATTAAAGTTCCTTCCCATTAAAGTGTCATATGTTTTGTGTTAATGCGGCGGATGGCAGAACCCATGTAGAATAGGCAGGTTTGCGGGGTTTGGGCTGCCCCTCTCCTTGTCCTATAACACCAATAACTTGATGAACAGAGAACTTAAATGAATTGTCCCAAGTACTACTAAGGTTTTTTGTTTGTTTGTTTGTCTTTTTAAAGAGGCATGTATTTTTATTTATTTGTTTGTTTGTTTTGTTTATTTGTTTATACATGCACTGGGTACAGTCTGAAGCGCTGGAGGGTAAGAGAATTCACCAGAGCCAGAGCAGCGATCAGAGCAGGCAGAAGGACCGAAGTACACTGCTGAGGGGAGCAGTGGGCTGCAGGAGAGGTCTGCGCCATGTGGGACCCTCCTCTGGGACGGGGGAGCAGCCTGGGTTCGAAGCAGTGCTGCAGAGGCTGCGGACAGCTTCGTAACCCAGTGCTCAACCACTGCGCCACCGGGGAGGCCCACTACTAAGGTGTTTTCCAAAAAAGACTGCCAATTGTTGGGGCCTCCCTGGTGGCTCACGGGGTTAAGACGCAGCACTATGAAGCTATATCTGCAACCACTGCAGCATGGGGTCAACCCCCAGCCAGGGAGATACCCACATGGCGCAGCAGACCTCTCCTGTCTCACCTGCTACTCCCCTCAGCAGTGTATTTCAATCAATCTGCCTGTTCTGTTCCCCACTCTGTCTCTGGTGGATCCTCTCACACACCACCACCCCCGGCATCTCTGGCCTGTACCCCAGTTTTTGTATGCATAAATAAATAAATCTTAAAAAAAAAAAAGACTGCCCATTTACATTCCCATATTGTTTCCCCACATTTTCAGCAGGACTGCCTATCCAAGATTCTAATCTTGGCAGCATTAATAATGTTGACAGGTAACGAGGGAAAATGAAGATGAAAGCATCATCTACAATAATGACCAAAGGCTTAGAATGTCCATTCTTTATGAAGGAGGAATGAGGATAGCCCAAATAGCATCTGGAGATCTGGCTAACTGCAAAGGAAAGGGGTGGGGCAAGACATGTGAGTCCAGTAAGGAATGTGCTGGCAGAAGTTTAACAACTGACTCTCTGGAGAAAGCCCTGACTTGTCTGTGCTGATGTCCAGGGGGTAAATGCTCTCACGATGGCAGATTTCAAACTACCAAAGTGATATCTTTTGTCATGGAGTTCTTTTTTTTTTTTTTTTGGAAGATTTATTTATTTATGCTTACAAGAACTGGGGTACAGGCCAGAGGTGTGGGGGGTGAGAGGATTCACCAGAGAGAGTGGGGAGCAGAACAGGCAGAACTGAAATACACTGCTGAGGGGAGCAGAAGGTAAGACAGGAGAGGTCTGCTGTTCCATGTGGGTAGCTCCCTGGCTGACCGGAGATTGAACTCGCCTCTGTGGATAGCTTCACAGTGCTGTGCTCAACCCCTGTGTCACCAGGAAGGCCCCATGGAGTTCTCATGAGATGTGTATAATCTGTTCTCATAGTCAATAAAAACTGGTTCCAGCACACCACTGATAGACCAGAAAAATCTGAGGAGGTGAGTCTGGGGAGAAAGCATCCTAGGCTGATAGGAGAGCTCTGGAATACAAAATCCAAGGCCAAAAGGAGCCTTCCATAATTGTTGCCAAAGCTCTCAGAGCTTAGGAGAGACTTCTATGGAGATGAGGTTCCAGATACAGCAGGCATACAATTGCATAAGTACTGTTTAGAAAAGTGAGCAAGAGTAATATATTGTGGGGCATGAAAAGTCCAGATTCAGGCAAAATAAGATGAAAAAGTAACTGATGAATTTTTATCAGTACGATCCATGAAAATTGAAGAATAAAGGACTGGTGAGAAAGAGTGAAAGGAAAATAGAGAAAACTCAGTTCACAATACACCATAAAGACATAATGGGGGCCTCCCTGGTGGTGCAAGGGGTTAAGTCTCAGCACTGTGAAGCTATCACCAGCTACTGCAGCACTGAGTTCTTTCCCTGGCCAGGGAGCTACCCACATGGCGCAGCAGACCTCTCCTATCTTACCTGCTACTCCCCTCAGCAGTGTATTTCAGTAAATCCTGTTCTGCTCCCCATTCTGTCTCTGGTGAATCCTCTCACCCCCCACCACACACACACACACTTCTGGCCTACACTGGAGCTCTTGTATGCATAAATAAGTAAATCTTAAAAAAAAAAAAAAAGACATAAGGGAGGGTGAGACAATGAACAAAAGGAGATTACCGAGTTATGTTTGAGATGAGACAAACGTGGGCATAGAGGGTGATAGAGATAAGAGGAAAAATAGCTGCTGCCTTCTCACAACCAGTATACTATCTTTGTACAAGGATCATGTTGACCTACTGTTAGAAAAGCAGGTGTTTTGAATAACTTTTCCAAAGGCAAAGATAAATTTGTTTCTTTATAGCTTATGTTCTCCATACTTCAGCTTCCTGGTTGCTAAGGCTACACATTCACAGCAGGTTCAGTGGCAGGAGTCTCCCGGCAAAGTAGTTTATTAGAGATGTCACACACAGGGTCCTGGAAGGAAAGTTGTTCCAACAGAATCTCCAGCAGCTAGCTAGGAAAAGGCAGGTTGGGTCCTCCCTGGTGGCACAAGGGGTTTAGTCTCAGCACTATGAAGCTATTGGCAGCCACTGTAGAAAGAGTTCCATCCCCAGCCAGGGAGCTGACCTACAAGGCGCAGCAGACCTCTCCTGTCTGGCAGCTACTCCCCTCTCCCCTCAGCAGTATATTTCAGTAGATCCTCCTGTTCTGCTCCCCACTCTGGTGAGTCTTCTCAACCCCCCACCCCACCCTCTGGCCTACACCCCAGCTCTTGTGTGCATGAATAAATTAAAAAAAATCTTAAAAAAAAGAAAAAGGGAGTGGGTGAGAGTGAGAACTGGGTAGGGTGGGGCTAATTGGCTAGTATAATTAACTTCCCCTCGGGTCCACCAGAGGGCAGACTGACTCAAAAAAATAATTTCCTATTCCAGGGCATCCCGCTTTTTTCAAAAGTTGAGATTCTAAAACTAAGGACTCGGAATACTAACACCAGAATTCTAAGACCGCCTCCAAAGGGCTCTGTCTTCTTTGAATAAACCCTCCAAAAATCAGCTGTTAATTTTTGTCAACTCCTAGTGCCATCCCCGCCGTCACCTGTATTCCCTGGAACCTTCCCCTTCCCCTAATTCCCTACCACTCCTTCCCCCCGGTCCTGCTGGTTAAACCTCTGTTTCTTTCGCTCCAGCCTCTCCGGTCTCGGACTGCAAGAGGGAGGTCAAGAGAGGCGAACGAGAGTAAGCAAAACGTTGTGGGAATTGGCGAGGGAGACAGGCCAGCCTCGGCTGGGAAGGGAAAACCCGGAGCAGCGAAGCCTGGGCTGGCTGCTCGCCGGGCCCCAGCGGTGGGCGGGCGGGGGGTGGGGCCCGGGGCAGTGCCGCCTCCGCTCATTCCCGGAGCTTGGGCGGAGAGGGAGGAAAAGTTCTTCCTGGCCTAGGCTCCGGGCCGCGCTCATCTGCCAACCCTCCAATCCCGCCTGCCGGTGTCCGGCGCCTCCCCACCCCTCCCCCGGCTCCCCCAGTGTCCGCCATGGCCAAAGCCTACGACCACCTCTTCAAGTTGCTGCTGATCGGGGACTCGGGGGTGGGCAAGACTTGTCTGATCATTCGCTTTGCAGAGGACAACTTCAACAGCACTTACATCTCCACCATCGGTGAGCCCACTGGCCATATCCCAGACCCGACTCCCCCATGCTCTCAACCTCAGGTTTATGGTTTACTAATGACCCCACTTTTCAGTCCCCCTAGAGTGAGACTTCTAAACTCCAGCCTCCACCTCTGTCTCAGACCCATCCCCCACCCATGTCTCTGGATGGTACCCAAACTAACCTCTCGGAGGCCGCCAGGTGACTGGTTTTGCCAGCCCCTCATTTTTTTGTTACCAACCATCTCCTCTCCAAATGCACATGAACCCTTCTCTAGTTCCCTCTCTGCTCCTGTTCCCCCACCCCCAATCACCTAGAACTTTAGATCCACTCTCCACATTTCCTGTGTTCCTTGATCCCAAACAGCTCTCTTGCACTTCTGCTAACCTCTTTCTGTCCAAGTGAGTTCCAGACTCCCCCATTGCATCTTCTCCTTAGCATCTACTTCCCAGTCTCCCTGCTCAGTCAACTTAATAGGAATTTGGGGAGGGTGGAACAGAGTGCCTGGATGTGCTGGAATGTAGCCCAAGGACTGTGATCATGATTATGCAGTCAGCCTGGTGCGGAAGATGGGAGTGAGGGGACTTTTGGGGTCTCTGAGTCAGCCTGGTGACTCAGCCTTCTCTCTGGGGTTCTCAAGAGGCTTGGGGGAGGTGCCCAAGTTTCCTCTAAGAACTTTCCCCCCTCCCCCCCCATCTTTCTAATCTTGTCTGGCCTGGGGAATAAGACAAGAAAAGCCTCAAGACAATTCTGATAGGGAAGGGGAAGGAAAAATGACCCTCTTTCCTAGTGCAGTCTCAGGAGGACACTTGTTTAGCTTTAGATTTTCTTGGTTCCAAGCCTGGCTCTCTAATTCACATAGGCATCAGCTATGTTTTTCTTCATTCTTTACCCTATGGGGTCAGGAGGGTGGGTGGGGTACTGAGTAAAGAGGGTGCTAAAGAAACGGAAGGGAAAAGGAACCTGAAGGTAATATTTAGGGAGAGACAAGCTAACTTGAGCTGTTAACTGGCATGGTGAGTGAACCCAAGAGTTGCCTTTTAGGCCTTAAGCCTTCCTATAGAATTTTCAGCACCTTCTCTTCCCCCAAATCTATAAAATCTAAGTAAAAACAAAGTGCTGGCTATACAAATACGGCTTTGGGAAATTTCTCCTAGGTTTTTGTTGTTTTTTTCCCCAAAGATTTCTTTATTTATGCATACCAGAGCTGAGGTACAGGCCAGAGGTGAAGGGGTGAGTGGATTCACTGGAGACAGAGTGGGAAACAGAACAGGCAGACTGAAATATACTGCAGAGCGGAGCAGCGGGTGAGTCAGGAGAGGTCTGCTGCACCATGTGGGTAGCTCCCTGGCCCGGGATCAAACTCATGTTGCAGTGACTGCGGGTAGCTTCATAGTGCTGTGTCTTAACCCTTGGCGCCACCAGGGAGGCCCCAATTTCTCCTAGTTTCATACTTCCAACAAGATTACTTCCCCAGTGCCTTTCTACCACACACTTTTACACACATACACACACGCACCCACACACACACAGGTTTCAACCTCAATATGTACCTTTCCACCCCTAGGAATTGATTTCAAGATCCGCACTGTGGATATAGAGGGGAAAAAGATCAAACTGCAAGTCTGGTGAGTGAATCCTTCAGGCCTCGTAATAGGACTTCCTCGTTAACTTTCCATAACCCTCTTCCTTCTATTTTGCTTCATTTCTCTCCATTTCCCCATTGCTCCTTCCAGCACTGAATTAATTTTTTTTTTAAGATTTATTTATGCATACAAGAACTGCGGTACTGGCCAGAGGTGAGGGGCATGAGAGGATTCACCAGAGACATAGTGGGGAACAGAACAGGCAGATTGACCTGAGTACACTGCTGAGGGGAGCAGCAGGCAAAACAGGAGAGGTCTGCTGTGCCATGTGGGTAGCTCCCTGGCTGGAGATGGAACTCATGCTGCCGTGCCTGTGGATAGCTTTATGGTACTACATCTTAACCCCTTGCACCACCAGGGAGGCCTTGAATTCATTTCTCACTTCACTCAGATGTCCTTCCATCTCTTCCTGCTCTCTCAACTATTTTTAGCTCTTTTGTAACTGCCTCTCCTAGTTCCAAAGCAGTCTTTGAACTTGATTAAAAATGCCTTTTGAGCTATTGTGTAATGTAAAAACAGGCTCTGAGAACTTACATGGCAATAGCTGAATTCACACTTGACTCTAAGATTAGTGTTCTCTCTAAATTATGGGGAGCCCAGAAAACCAAGTGGAAAGATTTGACCTGTAATAGGAAGCTGGAAACTGATTTAAGTGGTCCAAGACTCAGCAGAGGCATTATGATGCCATCAGTAAGAGCAGACCATGGTTCAAATTCTGGTTCTGTTATCTGCCACGTGAATTTCACTAGTTATTAGATCTATTTCTTCATTGGTAAAATAGTGATAACAAAACATATCTCACAAGAATAGAGTGAAAATTAGATAAAATAACACACATATAAAATGATACATGGTGCTTGGCATGAAGGACCATTAAATTAGTAAACAAGGGCCTCCCCGGTGGCGCAGCCGTTGAACACTGGGTTGCGAAGCTGCCCGCAGCCTCTGCGGCGGCGGTTCGATCCCTGGCTGCTCCCCGGCCACTGGAGGAGGGTCCCATATGGCGCGCAGACCTCTCCTGCCGCCCGCTGCCCCCCTCAGCAGTGTACTTCGGTCCCTCTGCCTGCTCTGCTCCCTGCTCTGGCTCTGGTGAATTCTCTCACCCTCCCGCGCTTCTGACTGTACCCAGTGCATGTATAAAAACAAAAACAAACAAACAAATAAATAAATAAAACATGCCTCTATTAAAAAAAGAAAATTAGTAAACAAGAGAGGTTTCTACCTTATTTCAATATCAGCCCCAGGATCTGTCACCCCTTCCCCCCTTTACTGTTCCCTGATTCTATTCCTTAGAGCCCCACCCTGTTGCAAAAGCTAAATTCTTGGGGGTGGGGGAAGGGATTCTCTCTTTGGAGAAACCTCCCCGCTATCCCACCCCATGAAATATTCCACATCTTCAGGGACACTGCTGGCCAAGAGCGATTCAAGACGATAACTACCGCCTATTACCGCGGAGCCATGGTATGAGGTGTGGGTCTGGGCAAGGGATGAGGGCATGAGGTAATGGAATGTATGAGTACAGAGGCGCAGGGTTGGGGGTGTGCACTGAGTAGGTTCCAGAGGCCTCACGTGGCCTACTGATTAGACCTGGGATAGAACTTGCAGGAGTGCTGAGAGAGCAGTGGGAAGCCTAAACAGGGAATGGGGTCCAAGACTTCATTGTGAGCTCTGCCACCTTCCAGGGCATTATCCTAGTATATGACATCACAGACGAGAAATCCTTCGAAAATATTCAGAACTGGATGAAGAGCATCAAAGAGGTGAGGGCTCCTACACAGAGATGGGGGACTGGGCATAACCTGGAAGTTGAAGGGGGTTGTGAGTATGAGCAGCACCCAACTTTTACTTGTCTTACCCTTTTGCTCCCAGAATGCCTCGGCTGGGGTGGAGCGCCTCTTGCTGGGGAACAAGTGTGACATGGAGGCCAAAAGGAAGGTACAGAAGGAGCAGGCTGATAAGGTAAGGGCCAGGCTGGGCAATATTCTAGAACTGGGCTGGGAGGGCCAAGATGGGGTCATATTGGGAAGGACATGGCTATTATTGTCCTTTGTGCAACTCTCTTCCCACATCACCCCCTACAGTTGGCTCGGGAACATGGAATCCGGTTTTTTGAGACAAGTGCCAAATCCAGTATGAATGTGGATGAGGTGAGACAAACCTCACCCACCCCACTGTCCAAAGAGGTGAAGTAGTGAAAGATAGACTCGTCTTCCCCTGCATCTGTCCTGACCATTCCCCTTACTCTGGTAGGCCTTTAGTTCCCTGGCCCGGGACATCTTGCTCAAGTCAGGAGGCCGGAGATCGGTGAGTCAGTTCTGTTGGGGAGAGAGAGAGAGAGAGAGAGAGAGAGAGAGAGAGAGAGAGTGTGTGTGTTGGGACTGAGGAGGGAAGCAGTGCTGAGACTTCCCCAGAGGGTAAGTCCCCTTCAACCAGTTCATAGGCTTATTCTCCAGCCAGTCATTCCCATCCTGACCTCTGTGCCCTTCTCTCTCTAGGGAAACAGCAACAAGCTCCCCAGCACTGAGTTGAAAACTTGTGACAAGAAGAACACCAGCAAGTGCTCCCTGGTCTGAGGACTTCTTTCTGCCTCCCTATCCATGGAGGTTAAACCTGAGGGAGGCAGGGCTGAGGGCCTGGGCAGGTAGTCTTGGAGAGATAAAGATGGACACATGATGGAAGAACGGGGAGAAAATAGAGAAGAAAAAGGGAAGGCACGGAAAGGAGGTATAAGAGAGGAAAGGAGAGGCAAGAAGGGCAAGAACTGAGGAAGTGAAAGAAGGTGAGAGGGAGGTAGGAAGAGAGGGAGGAAAAGGGGGAAGAGATGGCCCTGGACCTCAGGCCTTCCCTGGGTTTCCAGGACAAGCAAAATGTAAATAAATAATTGACTTATTCTGTTACTGGATCAAGTTTTAGGGTCCTGTGAGAGGCTGGCTCAGCACCACCCTCTGAATGTGTGGTCCTGTACTGTTACTCTGCATGGTCTTTCCTGGTATTAAAGACCACCATTTGCACAACTGTCCCTGGTTTGGGTAATTTTCATCATTGTTAGAATTGCTCTCTACTCAAAAACCTAACTCCTGCCTGAGGCAATTGGCCTGCCTGAATTGAAATGGATTCCTCTGACACCAAGACTAGTTCTGCAAGTATCCCTTCCCCTCTGTTTGAGGAGGAAAACAGCAAGGAGCAGAGGTGGGGCAACCTGAGGGTCTGGACATTATGGGGCTTCAAAGACCTTCCTAGGCAAAGCCTTCTCACAAGAGGAGGAGGACTGAGAGGAGGAGGACTCATTCTTGGGCTTCCCCAGGGGACTGACTGACCTAGCCTTAAGGAAATAAAGCGCAGGTGTTGTTTATCTAGTGATTTCTACAAGCTTCTTTGATTCTGCCAGCAATTCCTTTAGGTGGGCATTGTTATCTGCTTTTATATATCAGGAAAATGGGACACAAAAGAGGTTCATGTATTCATAAATATATATTGAGCACCTACTATATGCCATGCAAAATGATAAGTTAACAAATCTTGTAAGTAGTACAAGTAGTACTTACAAGAAGGACATCAAATTTTTTATAAAACAGCTCCTAGCTGAGCTTCCCTGGTTGCGCAAGGGGTTAAGCACTGCACTATGAAGCAATCCGCAGCCTCTGTAGCACGAGTTCGATCCCCGGCCAGCCAGAGAGCAACCCACATGGCAAAGCAGACCTCTCCTGACTTGCCCGCTGCTCAGTCTGCCTGTTCTGCTCCCTACTGTCTCTGGTGAATTCTCTCACCCCAACCCGCACCTCTGGCCTATACCCCAGTTCTTGTATGCATAAATAAATAAGCCTTTTTTTAAAAAAAAAAGAAATTATATTCATGGGGGCTTCCCTGATGGTGCAGGGGTAAAAGTCTTGGCACTATCAAGCTGTGGCCAGCCACTGCAGTGAGTTCCATCCTGGGCTAGAGAGCTGACCCACATGGCGCAGCAGACGTCTGTCTCGCCTGCTCCCCTCAGCGGTGTATTTCAGTAGGCCACCTTTTCTTTTCTCCACTCTCTCTGGTGAATCCTCTTACTCTCCCGCACCTCTGGCCTATGCCCCAGTTCTTGTATGCATAAATAAATAAAAATAAATCCTTAAAAAAAGAAAGTGTATTCATGGACATCAAGTCCAAGACATTTAAGGAGTCCTCAAGTCTGCAGTGTGAAGGTGGATGGCACATTCTTGGAGTCAGCAGTAAAATCTTTTTCGTGCTACTTCTGGGTAAAAAGATAAACACGGGGGAAAAGTCTGTGTGCTGAGAGAACTTGCAAAATAATTTGATAAATGTATAAAGTATGAAAGCTTCCAGAGGGCAATGATCCTTATCTCTGACTTATATTTGAGCTTCATAGTCAACTGCCCAGTTGGTTTAATTTGTTCAAGAGACAAGGGATGACTTGCGTTTTGTGAATCCCAGGAAAAAAGACTGACTGACAGCAGCATATTCCAGATATTTTATTTTATTTTATTTTTTTATTATTATTTTTTAAAGATTTATTTCTTTATTTATACAAGAACCGGGATACAGGCCTGATGCGTGGGATGGGGAGAGGATTCACCAGAGACAGAGTGGGGAACAGAACAGGCAGACTGACTGAAATACACTGCTGAGGGGAGCAGCGGGCATGACAGGAGAGGTCTGCTGCGCCATGTGGGACCCTCACCGGATGGCCGGGATTGAACCAGCACTGCAGAGGCTGTGGACAGCTTCACAGCGTGGTGCTCAACTGTGCCACCAGGGGAGGCCCTATTTTATTTTATTTTTAAAAAAGATTTATTTATTTTTAATATTATTTATGCATACAAGAACTGGGGTACAGGCCAGAGGTTTGGGGGTTAAGAGGATTCACCTGAGACAGAGTGGGGAACGGAACGGGCAGACTGAAATACACTGCTGAGGGGAGCAGCGGGCGAGACAGGAGAGGTCTGCTGTGCCATATGGTTATCTCCCTGGCCAGCTGGGATTCAAATCTGCACTGCAGAGGCTGCAGACAGCTTTATAGCGCTGTGCTCAACCTGCTGCACCACTGAGAGGCCCCATATTCCAGGTATATTAAAATCTAGTTTCAGCATAGAGATCTGGTTCAGTTGCTTGGTATGGCTAGTGGAAGTGAGATGTTACAAGATCTGACAGCTTGTCATGGCACATGATAGGATTTGGAAAGAATTATTGAATACCAGATTTCAGCCAAATGTTATAAACTATTGGAGCATACAACTATTGACACATACATAAAACTATTGACACACACAAATGATAACTTAAAGGAATAAAAAGTCAAAAACAAAATTAAAGTTCAGCCCTCACTGGGTTTTCTTTTTTAGATCTTCCATTTTGATCTTCATCTTTCTGAATGCTGATGCTTTCTACTCTTGAGAAGTCAGCTTTAAGTCTGATGGGACAGAATTTATGTGACATAGGATCAGATGGATTGTTAGTCACAAAATAGTGCTCTAACCCTTGGGGCTATGGGGAAGTTGGGGGAGAAATTGTGGTCTCTAGGCTAGAAAGACTTGTTGGGTGAGGAAAATATGGAGCAGAGTTAAGGAAAAAGTACAGAGACAAGCCTTTTTTTTTTGAGATGTGGGGCCCATTATATTTACATGTAGTTTATTTTAAGGACCACCTATCTGCTGAATGTTTGAGAAACTTAGCTCAAATGGTTCAGTTGTCAGTTGGGTTGCATACATACACAGAGTTAGGAAAGCAAATTCCAGCAGAATTAGGATAATGGCTAACACATTACCAGACAGCTAAAAGATGAACCTAGAGAGGAGATCGTCACTGCAATTCTGGATATAGATCAAGGTTTAACTCCACAGGGAGGGAAGGCAGGCATAAATCTTTGCCCTGAGAGTTGAAAATCTCAGTTCTCCCACTCACTAGCTGGGTGATCTTGGACAAGTCACTTACACACTGAGCTTACTCATAAACGGTTATAATACCAATCCTGATTCCTCAGGGTTAATGAGGAGAGCAAAATGAGCAGATAGAGAGAAACATGAAGTCATATTAGGAGAGAATAAAGTATTTTCATACACATTTACATATCACCAAAAAAAAAAAAAACCAAATGAACCTAGAAGACGCACATTAGCATTTATCTTTTTAAAGATTTATTTATTTTTGCATAGAAGAACTGGGGTGTAGGCCAGAGGTGCGTGCATGTTTGAGAGTGAGAGAGAGGATTCACCAGAGACAGAGCGGGGAGCAGAACAGGCAGATGTACTGGAATACACTGCTGGGGGGAGCAGCGGATGAGACAGGAGAGGTCTGCTGTTCTATACATGGGTTCCCTCCCTGGCGGGGGGATCCGGGATCGAACCCAAACCATAGTGGTGATAGCACTGAGACTTAACCCCCAGGTCACCAGAGAGGACTTAACTCAGCATTTCCATTTTACATAGAACACTAAGAGCCAAATACTGTCCTAAAGTCACGTAGCTAATAAAACACCTGCACCTAGTCTAAAATTTCTTGGGACAACAAACCTCATGCTCTTCTCATTGTGCTAATATACGTGAGCTGAGAACTGTTCTGAGGATTACTTCAGTAATTAACACGAATGGTGGCATTCATCTGTGTAGAGCAGAGCGGGAGGCCAGAAACTGTGAGGATTTCACATTCACAGCGGGCCCGGGTATCGCTCCTGGACAGCGAACCCTGCCTCCCGCCCAGCCCATCCCAGCAGGAAGGACGGGGATTGTGTCAGAAAGGCTGAAGCTTAAAGGTAAAACCCAGGGTTTTAAGAAGGGAGCAAAGTCCTGGGAGGGTGACGTGTTGTTCCTTTCTACGTCTCGCAAGTCTTCTGGCCCACAAGGGGCCAAAGGCGGCAGCCCAGGGAGAAACGAAGCGAAAGTCAAAGCGCCTTGCTGGCGCCATTTCCTCCGCTCCACCAGAAGACTGCGAAGACCACGACGCAACGCTGCGCAGAGCCAATGGGCCGCCTCTCTCCGCACAGGCGCGCTGAGGGGCAGCTCCCAGCGGGCTGGGCGAGGCGCGCAACCCAGGAAGACTACAAGACCCAGCAGGCGGCCTTTCGCCGCCAGCCCCGCGCCGACCGGCCAGCACTGGGAAGGCCGGCCCGCGCCCAGAATCCTCCGCGGGGCAAGATGGCCGCGCCGGGAGCGGAAGCCGAGGTGAGGGGCTGGGCCCTACGCCCCCTAGGCTTTTCCCAAGCACCCTGCGGGGCCGAAAGAGGGAACTCACGGCCCTATCTAGCAAATGCGTTTTGACTTTTTCTCGCCGAGGCCATGGGCTGACCCAGCAGAGCCCTTCCATGACAGGCAGCCCCAGCATTTCGCAGCTCTGACTTCGAACTTCCTGGAGGGCTGCGGAGTAAGCGCAGCCTCTGCGCTCCGTCGGGGGCACGAGGCCAAACAGGTCCCTCTGTCCCGACAGGTGCGACACTGAACACTCCATGCCTGCGGGCGCGGGGAGGCGTGGCCTCCCCCCGGGCCGCCACCTCTGCTGGTTGCTCTGCGCTTTCACCTTAAAGCTCTGGTAAGGAGGGGATAAGCGAAGGAGAAAAGAGGGGAAGGGTGGAGCGGGTGGTCCCGCCCTCCCGGGTTGAGGGAAACCCAGTCCCTGGACCGCGGAGGTGGGTGAGTTACTTCCAATTTTCTGGCTTCTGACTTTTGCCACTTTCCCTCCCCTCCGCCCCTCACCTGCTGCAGCCAGGCAGAGGCTCCCGTGCGGGAGGAGAAGCTGTCAGGTGGGTGATGATCTGGGAACCCGATGCCCCCATAGTTTTCTTTTGCTTTTACTTCTTCCCACATACCAATAATACAGGTGAAAAAGGGCGGCACCTTGTGGAATGAGGGCATTCTGCTGTGCTGGGAAGTTGGATGGCAGAACCTTTGGGAGAAATATTTTCTGAATGATATCTGGGACTAACGTTTCTTTCTCCTTTTAGTGAGCACCTCAAATTTGCCATGTTGGCTGGCAGAGGAGTTTGTGGTAGCAGAAGAATGTGCTCCGTGTTCTAGTTTTCAGGCTGTGAGTATCTGTTTTCTCCCATCTAATCAGTCCTTAAGTCTTATTAAGTGCCCGTGCAGTCTTTTCCTCTTTTCCCTTGAAATCTCAGTATTTGTCCAAATGTGAACTTGTCTTCCAGCTGAAAATGTACCCTTTCCTTTCCAGCATCAGCTAATAACCATATTCTTTTCATTTTTAATCCAGTAGGCTCCGGAATTTATCCCTGCCTTTCAGAAATTACTGCCTCTTAAGAGTTCTATTGTATTCCTAATCATGCAACCACTACCTCCACCATCTGCATCAGAGAACTCTTCATTAATTTTCTGTTGACTACCAGCTTCTGATCCAAAGCTCTTGGACACCTGCCCCTTTTGAGTGGCAGCCTTTCTGCTTCTCCTGCTACCCCTAACATGCGCTTTGGTCCTTTTCTTCTGGCAGAAAACTACCCCTGAGTGTGGACCTACAGGGTATGTGGAGAAAATCACATGCAGTTCATCTAAGAGGAATGAGTTCAAAAGGCAAGTGCAATTTCTATTCTTGAAGCCTAGATGCCCCCTTTGCTCTTAGGACTTTCGGTAGATAGTTCTACATCTTCTTGGTCTGGAGTTAAATAGCAGTTTGGAAAGAGTAGAGGATTTATAACCAAATCCTAGTAGAACCCTTTAGTACTGTATTATTGATCATATTTTCTTATTAGAACTGGTCAATACCAGCTCTGCTTATCTCACCAGAAAATAAGTGATGTATGTGAGTGGGATTTATGTAGTATAAGCATACTATACTGCATAATGGGCTGTATAATGAGGGTTGACATGTTTCCTCTTTTCCCTTCAATATATCTTGGTTAGGCTGAAACAGAGGGAGAAGCTGTCTGGCTTCCCTGGAAAATAACTGTTTATTTCTGTCTTCAGCTGCCGCTCAGCTCTGATGGAACAACATTTATTCTGGAAATTTGAAGGGGCTGTCGTGAGTGTGGCCTTGGTTTTTGCTTGCCTTGTCATCATTCGTCAGCGACAGCTGGACAGAAAGGCTCTGGAAAAGGTCCGGAAGCAAATCGAATCCATATAGCTGCCTTCTGCCTTTTTATATGGATCTTAAGAGACTGTACCTCAGATAAAGTAGAATGGACTAACTTATGCCTCTGGTTCTTTGGGACCTTGTAGAGGCACTCCCTCTCTCCCATCATCCTCACTGAGATCATTGATGAGCAGAATAAAAGGAGTAAAATAACTGCCTTCCCTACTGTAATTTACAGGATATCAGTTTACCAAGTGTCTTCTCCCTCATCTACTTATTTAAAACTTCTGAGATATAATAATGCCAGTAAAGAAGTTTATTTCTCGGCCCAAACTTCTGTTTCCCCTCAACCCTATTACTAAAGAAGAAATAAAATCACAGAGACATAACAAAAATATCTGAGGTGCCCCCTAACATAAGCAGACTTGCCTCTTGGTACATCTAGGGCATCCTAAAGTGATTTCAGACCCCGGAGGCCTAAGAACCCTGAGTAGGAGTCCCGGGGGAAGCAGAACCATGCGGGAGCCCTGGATTCTTTGTTAGTGGGAAGTGGGCCAGGAAGTATTCCAGTTCACATCTCATCTGCATGCAGCACCGTTCTGACATACCCATTAGGCGCTGTGCTGCCATCCATCTTCTCAAGCAGTGTCCTTGTTGAACCATTTGTACCCCTAGCCCCAGAGCCCCCCCCTAATCTGGACTCTATGATTGGAGTTTCCAGATTTTCTGTCATGTCCTTGTGAGTCAGAATATTTCTGGAAATCACTGTGGGGTAAAGAAAAAAGGGTAGTAGTAAAGTGCTTTCCTGGGTCAGGGATCTTAGGACAGGACCTTCCACCCACCTCCTGGCTACCTGGGGAATACACCCCCCAATTTGCTCGTTCGGGTGGAGACCCCCTCTGCCCTTGCCTCTCACCTCCATGAGGCTGGTAATCCTCAGGCCCAACATCTGGTAGACCTTGAAAAGGGCTAAAACTGGGCAAGACAATGAGAACCAAGGAAAAAAGAAGGATCTAGGACAAAACAAGACATTTGGGCTGTGAGACAGTAAAGACATGGAGCAAAGGGTACAATGACTAGAGGGCAGCTGGGGTCATCAGGGATGGAAAGATAGGTATGATGGGAGTGGGGATAACAGGATAGAAGTGTGACACAAAGTGGGGGAAACAGGGAGTAGACTGATGTACCAGAACACAAGTGCTGGTCTGGGCAGCCTTGTTGGAGGTGTGAGCAATAAGCATCTGTAGCTGTCGGAGCTGAGTCACCAGGGAGCTGGGAATGAAAAGTGACATCTCCTGGGAATCAGGACCCAAGAAAGGTGCCCACTTGCGCTGCACCCTTCTTCCACTGTACACACCGTACTTTCACTCACATGTTGTGCCTCTCCAGCTCCTGGACTTTTTTCTGTAGTTCCTGGTTCTGTGCAGAACAGGCAGCCACCCTAGTAAGTGTGGAAAAGTCCATTCTTGTGAGTCCCTGAGCTGACCTGCCTGGGTAAAGTAGGGAGCGAGACTTGGACCATGGGAAGGCAGAAATATGATTCCAACAGACCTGCTCTCCAGTCCATCAATGTACTCTTTCTTCCGCCGCCGACTGTCCTGAGCAGATTGTTTGTTGCGGATTTTCCTCCTGACCTTCTTGAGCACCTTCTCCTCTGCCTGGAAGCCCAGCATTTGTCAGTCTTGGGCTTAACCTTCCCCAACACCACTGCCCCCTGCCCCATCCTGGCTCCTCAGATGCCATGGTGGGGTTGCTGGGTTGGGATACCCTTTGGAGAAGCATGTTACCTTGGTGAGGGGCAGGTGAGAGGGCAGGGAAACCCCTTCCTGCCCCAGCAGACGCTTCTCCTCCTCTGTCAGGAACAAGGTTTGATATGGCAGCTGGTGAGGGGCAGGAGATGAGATGAAAGTGGGGAGGAGTCATCCCATTCCCAGCACTCAGGCCACTCCCCCTACATGCCTTCTAGAGAATGTTTCCCATCTGCACTGAATAACTAACCAAGAGATGAGATGAGGACAGGGACCTTAATTCAGGCAGGCTCAGGATCAAGCTAAAATTACCTCTAGGGGCTGAGAAGGGAGAGGGTAGATAGTTTTGTCATTTGCTTTGCCCACAGATTTTCGACCTATGCACTCTGAGCAAGGTAGGAAGACAGAATCTAGTCCACATCTCCCCAAACTTACGGGAATTTGAAAAGGACATGGAGGAACTAAAGCAGGCTTTGCTTAATCATACAGCAAGCAAATGACTCACTTTTAGCCATTAACCTCTATTGTAAGAATGCGTTACTCCGTCACCTGTCAACCATGGGGGGGCTCTGATGTAGCAACCCAGTCTTCCCTGGAGTCGGAGCCCCATTTTTTAAAAAATATTTTTATAGAAGAACTGGGGTACAGGTCAGAGATGCAGGGGGTGAGAGGATTCACCAGAGACAGAGCAGGGAACAGAACAGGCAGACTGACAGGTACACTGCTGAGGGGAGCTGCAGGCGAGACAGGAGAGGTCTGTCCCACCATGTGGGTTTCTCCCTGGCTGGCTGGGAATCGAACTCATGCTTCAGAGACTGAGGATTGCTTCATAGGTTGCATCTTAACCCCTGCGCCACCAGGGAGGCCCTGGAGCCCCATTTTTTAGACCTTAGCTCTGTCCTCTCACAAAGAATTCCCCATGGACAACTAGACTGAACACTTTTTTTTTTTTTAAAAGATTTATCTATTTATGTATACAAGAACTGGGGCACATGCCAGAGGTATAGGGAGGTGGGGGAGAGGATTCACCAGAGACAGAGTGGGGAGCAGAATAGGCAGACTGACTGAAATACACTGCTGAGGGGAGCAGTGGGCGAGCCAGGAGAAGTCTGCTGTGCCATGTGGGTAGCTCCCTGGCCAGGGATCGAACTCGTGCTGCAATGGCTGCAGATAGCCTCATAGGCTGCGTCCTAACCTCTTGCGCCACCAGGGAGGCCCAAGACTGAACACTTTTCATAACAAAGCATGAAGGGAGAGTGTAGATGGCTTTTGGTTAACGTGAACCCATCAACTGAGTAACTTAACCTTTCTTCTTTTTTTTTTTTTGGATTTTATTTTTGCGTAGAAGAAAGAACTGAGGTGTAAACCAGAGGTGCAGAGGGGGGTGTGGGGATTCGCCAGAGACACAGTGGGGAGCAGAACAAACGGATATACTGAAATCCACTGCTGAGTGGAACAGTGGGCCTCATTCTCAAAGAGTTTGATTCGGTGGATTAGTGGCACATATCTCTAATAGTCCATCAATTACAGGAGCAATAAGGGAACATCAGGAAAATTCAGAAATAGAGGAAGTGGAAATGGTTCAGCTAAAAGCCACAGATCACCAAGAGACAAAAGCAAATTTCTCTTAGGTCAGAGTAAAGCAGAAATCTTTCAAAAAGGATTAGTTAGAAAGGTTAAGTTGGGGGCCTCCCCGGTGGCGCAGCGGTAGAGTGCTGGGTTGCGAAGCTGCCCGCGGCCTCTGCAGCGCCGGTTCAATCCCCGGCTGCTCCCCGGCCACCAGTGGAGGGTCCCACATGGCGCGCGGACCTCTCCTGCCGCCCGCTGCTTCCCTCAGCAGTGTACTTCGGTCCTTCTGCCTGCTCTGCTCCCCGCTCTGGCTCTGGTGAATTCTCTCACCCTCCCGCGCTTCTGACTGTACCCAGTGCATGTATAAACAAAACAAACAAACAAGCAAACAAATAAATAAAGAAAAACATGCCTCTATTAAAAAAAAAAAAAAGAAAGGTTAAGTTGGGCCTACCTGGGGCCTAGGGGTTAAGTCTCAGTGCTACCACTGTGATGGCCTGAGTTGGATCCCTGGCCAGGGAGCTAACCCACATGGTGCAGCAGACCTCTCCTGTCTCACCCACTGCTCCCCTTAGCAGAGTATTTCAGTCAATCTGCCTGCTTTGCTCCCCACTCTGTCTCTGATGAATCCTCTTACCCCCTGCACCTCTGGCCTATACCCCAGTTCTTCTATGCAGAAATAAATAAATGTTAAACACACACACACACACACACACACTCCCCAGAACTTCGGATGCATACCAAATTTAAAGCATCAGACTCTTTAAGGTCTCTCAGCCCAAATTCTCAGGTGTTTGGCTTGGCTTCTGGTCTCAGCTTTGATGACAGATTTGCAGGGAGGCTAGAACCTGCTCCCTACCTTTAATACCCAGGAGTTCCAGGATAAAGGTGGTAACCTGAACAACCCCACAGACACACTCTCCTTCCCCCCCGCCCCCCTTTTGCCATCCTGCAGGAACTAGCCTAGCCATGGGAATGGCTCTGATGCAGTACTCCCCTACACTCTCTAACCTTGGGTTGTGGATGCCTGATGGACAGTTGTATCAGTGGAAACACAGTTGCAGTTGCTTGTCCTCTTACACCCTGTACCCAGTAACCAGTGGACTCCCAGTTGCCTATCTCACCCCCATGTGAGATGAGAATAGCACTGGCTGAACAAATAAGGCTCACAAGTTTCTGGCTTCCTCAAGAGCCTTATCTCTGGAATCCTTCACCCCACCTTCTCCTTAATGAGTCATCACCACCTTACCCCACATGGACTTCTGCCTCCCTTATCCTTTCCTGTCTTAAAGTTGCCCATGTCTCCCTGGTCTTCAGGCCTTATGCCACCAAAATTGGGGCAAAGAAAGTTTAGCATCAAATTCCCCTTCCCTCATCCCCTCTCCCCCATCTCTGTAGATACATGTGTGTATTAGGAAATACAGGATGGACTGACCCCAAAACTCACCAGGGTTGCAGGAGGCACTGGGGCTACAGTGCTTGCTCTGGGCAGGATATGGGCATGAGCATCAAGGGGCAGCTCGCTGATCATGCAGGCATCAGGGACCATAAATGGTGGACGCCACTGATCTGAGGGAGATAGAAGGTGGGGGTACTCCCTGATGGCAGCAGGTCCTGGGTATTGATGTAAGCGGAAACCCCAATATCCCAGGACAAGGACTGGAATGGAAAAGCCATTGTCCCCTTCCCACAAAGAACACTGACCTAGCTGGATGGAGATGAGCCCTACAGTTGGTCCAGCTTCCCCCTGTATCCTCTCCAGGGCACCTGCCTCATAGACAACCTCATAGAGGGCAGGAGGACTAGGTGCCTTGGGGGGAAGAGGACTATCTGGATGGCCAGGCTCCTCAGAGATTCCACTTTCTCTGTCAGGAGATGCTTCTAAGCAGTACACTTCATTGGGATCAATGAAAATCTTCGGAAAATCTTCAGGCTCACTCTCTTGAAGGCCCTACAGAAAAAAGTGTGTGTGTGCGGGGAGAATTTTGGAGGTCCTACCTAACCTCAAACCTAGATCATTTGTGCTTCAGTTTGGGTCTCTTTTGTCTTAGGTGTAGAGATAGTTGAGCTTATGTCTATTTGGGGGGCTCAGTCTCTAGAACCTTTCTCCAAGTGGAGGCTGAAGCGTTCTGGGGCTTCCTGTCATAAGAGTTCTGAGTCTCAATCCACCCCGCACTTCCATTCATCACACTCACATGGCCCCCATTGGATTCCCAGCCTTGTAGCCCCTGTTCTTGTAGTATAGACCCTGTGGCCTCTGGAGGTGCACAGTGGAGTCCGAGTTCCAGGGAGGGCCCTGTTGAGAAGTCTTCTTCTGCGGGCTCCAGCCACACGTCCAGCAGGTCAGGGGCTCCAAAATCCATCCTTCTTCTGGGGGGGCAATGTGGGGAGAAGGGGATGGGCAGTTGCTGATATCCCTTCCCACCCCCCTGCCTCCACATAAACAGCTTCTGGTTTCCTCTTACTCCCCCTTTCATTATCCCCCTCCTCACCTATGCAGCCCCCTCACCTGTCGCCAGGTATTTCGCCTCCGTTCTTACCTCTGGTTCAGATAAACGGACCCCCTTGGGTACCTGTTCCGAAAAGCCCAGTCCTGCCAAGCCACTCTGGTCCTATGACCCACTGCACCTTTTTTTTTCCTCCAGGATCTAGCATCCTGGACCTGCCCAGCCAAGCCCCGCCCCCAGTCTTACGCAAGAAAAGTAGTTGCGCCCCGCGGGAGGCCTCCCCGCGGGGGACGCTGTCTCTGGGAGCACGAGGCACATGGGCTGTGTCCACAAAGCGGACTTAATGAAAACATAGGTAGCCTCGCCCTTTCTGCCTCAGTTTCTTCTAACAGCAGTAAATCTTCCTGAAGGTTTGGTAAACTCCTCAGGAAAAGACATAGCTGTGACGGCAGCACAAGACACTCGAGCGCCGGCCATGAGCCTTACAAGACAGGGACCAGGGCAGAATTGAAAACAAAGGAATTCAGTCAACAGGATTGCCCAAGATTTACGGCAAATCCCCTCCCCCACCCAATGGCGTTAAGCGCTCGAGGCAGGCTTCTCTATAACTGGCCAAAGTAGGTCGTCCGTACGGGAGCTAGACCAATGGGACTGGAGTACTCATTGGTCGGGCAGGGATTGGTTTCCGCTGGATCAAAGGGAGGGCAAGAGCCAGAAAATAAATTGTAGAGAGGTTGGAGAAAAGTTTTGAGAATGGAGGTAGGGGCCGTCTGGATTGTTTTTGATTGCACGTGGCTCCTAAACCCGGGTTATTGACTAGGTAGGGAGTAAATAACTGTTGACCTCAGTGACAAGAGTTTTGACTCAGTGAGCGGAAAGTCCTGTCATCGCAGGTTACAAATTCCGTCTTAGGCTGCTGATAAATAACAGCAGTTATACGCACACAATGCAGGACTCTGTCGCGGTGGAATGAGGTACAAAGGTCTGGGAATCTACAAAAGGATAAATCATTATGGTTTGTTTTGGGTCTCATGTTTGCATATAATTACCAACAACAGTATGTATCCTTTATTTGTTTGTGTGTGTTTAAGATTTATTTATTTATGCATTCAAGAACTGGGGTACAGGCCAGAGGTGCGTGGGAGTGGGGGTGGGGGAAGAGAGGGCTGGTGGTGGTGGTGAGCAGATTCACCAGAGACAGAGTGGGGAGCAGAACAGGACTGAAATACACTGCTGAGGGGAGCAGGGGGCGAGACAGGAGAGGTCTGCTGTGCCATGTGGGTCACTTCCCTGGCAGGGGATAGAACTCATGCTACGGTGGCCTGGAACAGCTTCATAGTGCTGCATCTTAACCCCTTGCACTACCAGGGAGGCCCCTATGTGTCCTTTATTTGTCTGGCTTGTTAAGAGTTTTCATAAACACTTCTCATATATATGTAAAAGATTTATGTTATTTATTTATACATAGAAGATCTGGGGTGCAGACCAGAGGTGTGGGGTGGAGGGGTGTGGGGCTGTGGCGAGAGGATTCGCCAGAGAGAGAGAGTGCGGGGAGCAAAGCAGGCAGACAGGGGAGGTGTGCTGAGCCTTGTGAGTTAGCTCCCTGGCCTGGCATCTAACTTATTTTTTTTTTTTCCTGGCATCTAACTTATAATGCAGTGACTGGGGATAGCTTGATAGGGCTGAGATTTTAACCCCCGGACCACCAGGGAGGCCCTGTTTTCTCATTTAATCCACAACAGCTCTAAGGTTGATAGGGCAAATAATATCCTAATTTAACCTATGAGGAGACAGAAATCCTTGACTAGAAGGCAGTGATAATAAAACCCAGGAGTTTTTGCTTTGGTCTGGTGACTGATGGCTCTGGAATTCATTTCAAGTAAAATAATAGAACTCAGTTGATAGACTTACTGGTTTTGTTTGCCTGCCTCCCCCAGCAGTACTTCAGGTAAAGGATAGTTGAGAAAATTTGGGGGGAGAGGGAGTAGATCCAGAATTCAAAATATTCTTGCAAAAGCATGAATGGGCTGAGAGTAAAGACAGGAACAGGATCCAGTATTTATTTATTATTACATGGTCAGGTGTCAGGCATTTCCATGTACTGATGTAATTCTTGTTGCAACCCATAGCTGTCAGAAAGAAGTAACTTTTCAAGATTAGTCTTAAGTAGCTGAACCAAGATTTGGATGGCTAAACCCATATTCCTCAGGGTATACTAAACTGTCTTGCTTGGGATTTCTCAAATTTCCCGTGTCTTTCCTGCTAATCTCCTCCATTGGCTCAAATAGTGAAGACCAAGCAGCCTTCTTAGATTGATGCAGAATCTATGGAAAGAGCTTTCCTTGCTTAGAGCTTTCCTAGAGCAGTAACAGTTCCAAAGGGCTTCCTGTAGACTGCATGTACAGAAATGATTAAGTGGAAACTACAGTCAGCTTCCGTTAATGTTAAAAGTGGAAGAACCTCTGGCACTATCTGCTGGTCTAACTTCCCTCTTTTCCCTGACTTACCTAGTGCCTGAGAAAATGACATGTCTAAGATCACATCAAATTAAGGTAGAACAGGGACTAGAACCCAGGTGTCTTCACACCCAGTTCATGATTGCTTTTTTTTTTTTTAAGATTTATTTATTGGGGCCTCCCTGGTGGCGCAGGGGTTAAAGACCCGCGCTATTGAGCTATTGTCAGGGAGTGAAATCCCAGCCCGCCAGGGAGCTGACCTGCCAGGGACTACCCACATGGCACAGCACAGCTCTCCTGTCTCATCTGCTGCTCCCCTCAGCAGTGTATTTCAGTAGATCTGCCAGTTCTGTTCCCCACTCTCTCTGGTGAATCCTCTCACCCCCTCCATCTCTGGCCTGTACGCCAGCTCTTGTATGCATAAATAAATCTTTATAGGCCAGAGGCGCAGGAGGGTGAGGGGATTCACCAGAGAGAGTGGGGAGCAGAACAGGCAGACTTACTGAAATACACTCTGAGGGGAGCAGCAGGCGAGACAAGAGAGGTCTGTTGTACTATGTAGGTGGCTCCCTGGCTGGTGGGTGATTGCACTCGCTGCCAATAGCTTGATAGTGCTGCAGTGGCTGCCAATATCTTGATAGTGCTGTGTCTTAACCCCTTGTGCCACCAGGGAGACCCCCCTCATAATTGCTTTTTTTTTCCTTAAAGATTTATTTTTTAATCTATACAATAGCTGGGGTACAGGCCAGAGGTGTGGGAGGGTGAGAGGATTCACCAGAGACAGAATAGGGAGCAGAACAGGCAGACGGACCAAAAGCACTGCTGAGGGGAGCAGCGAGCAAGAAAGGAGAGGTCTGCCGTGCCATGTGGGAATCTCCCTGGCCAGCCAGGAATCGAACCCGCACTGCAGAGGCTGCGGACAGCTTCGCAGAGTTGTGCTCAACCTGCTGCGTCACTGGGGAGGCCCTCATGATTGCTTTTTAATGTAACTAATTATCAATCATCTTAAAAGTGTAATTTACCACAGAAAAACTATACCATGTATGCCCTCTTTGAGTAACCTGAAGTTGCCTCATAAATAATTTTTATCTTTTAAGTAAGAACTTGGGACAGCAATAAATATTATTTTTTAAATTTTATATATTTATGCATACAAGAACTAGGCTCCAGGCCAGAGGTGTGGAGGGTGAGAGAATTCACCAGAGACATAGTGAGGAGCAGAACAGGCAGATTGACTGAAAACACTGCTGAGGGGAGCAGCAGGCGAGGCAGGAGGTGTCTCCCTCACCATGTGGGTATCCTCCTGGCTGGGGATCGAACTCGTGCTGCAGTGGCTGCGGGTAGCTTCATAGGTTGCATCTTAACCCCTTGTGCCACCAGGGAGGCTCTGTTTTTTTTTTTTTTTTTTTTTATTAATTTCGTTTTTACATCATTGTTCATTTTTAAACAATGATTGCTTCCCCCCACCCCCTCAGGTGTAGTCCCCATAGAGTTTCCTTCACCAATGCTCCCATGCACCATCACCTCAGTCCCTGTGCTCCTCCCTCCCCCATCCTCTCCTGCCTCCTCCCCTGCAGGATGTCTCTGATTTATAATTGTCTGTTTTTGTTTTGTTGTGTTTTGTACTGTTATTTTTTTTTTACACTGATGTCTTATTTGGTTCCCCTATATTCCTGCTGTAAGTGAAACCATCTGATATTTTTCTTTTTCCTTCTAGCTTATTTCACTGAGCATAATTCCTTCTAGCTCTATCCATGTTGCTGCGAATGGCATGATTTTATCTTTTTTGATTGCTGAATAATAATCCCTTGTGTATATATGCCACATCTCCTTGATCCAGTCATCTATTTTTGGGCATCTGAGTTGTTTCCAGGTTTTACCTATTGTAAATAGTGCTGCAATAAACACAGGGGTACAGGTGGTCTTTTTTTTTAAGATTTATTTATTGATTTATACAAGCACTGGGTACAGTCAGAAGCGCGGGAGGGTGAGAGAATTCACCAGAGCCTGAGCAGGGAGCAGAGAAGGACTGAAGTACATGCTGAGGGGTGCAGCGGGCGGGAGGAGAGGTCTGCGTGCCATGCGGGACCCTCCTCCAGTGATCGGGGAGCAGCGGGGGATCGAACCGGCGCTGCAGAGGCTGCGGGCAGCTTCGCAACCCAGTGCTCAACCACTGCGCCACCAGGGAGGCCCACAGGTGGTCTTTTGAATCAATGTTTTTGTGTCCTTTGTGTAGATACCTAGGAGTGGAATTGCTGGGTCATATGGTAGCTCCATTTTTAGTAGACTGAGGAATCTCCAGATAGCTTTCAACAGTGGTTGGACCAGTTTGCACTCCCACCAGCAATGTAGGAGTGTCCCTTTTTCATCCTTTCACATCCTCGCCAACATTGCCAACATTTGTTGTTGCTTGGTTTTTTGATATGTGTCATTCTTACTGGTGTAAGGTGGTATCTCAATGTGGCAATAACTATTATGAAATGATGGGATACCAATACTGTATTCACTGATATCCTACCTTAGAGTCCTGATTCCGTTTTCCTATTTCCCCTCCCTCAAGAAGTCCTCACATTCCCTTAAAGAAGTTGCTGGCCTCCATTTCCAGAGTCTTATCAGAATTATCACTCTGCTGCCTTTAGGCAATGAGGTCTTTTCACTTTTGCTAAAAAGAAAAGGCCAAACCCCCTTCATTACTTTCCTCTTTTGTACCCTCTCCTCCCATGAAGCTAGAAGATTCTGGTAGCAGGCTAAGCAACAGTGAAGGTCTGTATTGAAAATACCTTGGTGCATTCAAGGAACAGAATGCACTAGCATTCTGGTCACAAGCGTTGAGGGAGTTAGGGAGTTGGAGAGTTGGAAAGGAGCCTTTTTTTTTTTTTAAGATTTATTTACACATACAAGAACTGGGGTACAGGCCAGAGGGGTGTGTGTGTGTGTGTGTGTGTGTGTCTGTGTGTGTGTGTGTGTGTGAGACAGAGAGACAGAGACAGAGAGAGAGAGAGAGAGAGAGAGAGAAAGGATTCACCAGAGACAGAGTGAGGAGCAGAACAGGCAGATGTACTGAAATATACTGCAGATAGGAGCAGTGGGAGAGACAGGAGATCTGGTACGCCATGTGGGCAGCTCCTTGGTCAGCCTGCAGAGGC